GAGGTGTACAGTGTATGAGATGATTCAACTGTATGTACCCTCAGTGAGGTGTACAGTGTATGAGATGATTCAACTGTATGTACCCTCAGTGAGGTGTACAGTGTATGAGATGGTTCAACTGTATGTACCCTCAGTGAGGTGTACAGTGTATGAGATGGTTCAACTGTATGTACCCTCAGTGAGGTGTATAGTGTATGAGATAGTTACCCTGTATGTACCCTCAGTGAGGTGTAAAGTGTATGAGATAGTTCAACTGTATGTACCCTCAGTGAGAAGTACAGTGTATGAGATGATTCAACTGTATGTACCCTCAGTGAGGTGTACAGTGTATGAGATGGTTCAACTGTATGTACCCTCAGTGAGGTGTACAGTGTATGAGATGGTTCAAATGTATGTACCCTCAGTGAGGTGTACAGTGTATGAGATGGTTCAACTGTATGTACCCTCAGTGAGGTGTACAGTGTATGAGATGGTTCAAATGTATGTACCCTCAGTGAGGTGTACAGTGTATGAGATGGTTCAACTGTATGTACCCTCAGTGAGGTGTACAGTGTATGAGATGGTTCAACTGTATGTACCCTCAGTGAGGTGTACAGTGTATGAGATGGTTCAAATGTATGTACCCTCAGTGAGGTGTACAGTGTATGAGATGGTTCCATTTCAGAACGGTGAACATCTCATTCATAAGTAGAGATTTTACTCACTTTAGTATATCCTCTTCTTGCTTTCTATAAACCTGTTCTAATTCAGCCATCTTCTTTGTGTGTTCCTTCAGTCTGATTTTTTCTGCATCCCGATACGCTGTTTTCCTCATATTCTGTTCAAAACAGTGGAAAATTGAGATAGTATATTATGGTCTTCACAGCCTGACCTAATAATTTTTTTTGATTAAAGAATTATAACACATTACTTGAATTGAAAGTATCATTATTACAAAATATTTATTACAAAAATTTTCCTGAATCCTTGTTGAGTGAAAGTTTGTTTTTCTGAAGGTATGAATCAACAATACTATGCACTATTGGTAGATCAGTGAATGTATCTTGAACATAGATTTCCCACCTGGTGTATAAAATTCTAGTTCAACTGAAAGTTTCTGGCAATTTGATTGTCATTCTGTACACTTCATACCTATGTGCATGTAAGCTACACTGATCATTTCTCTGATGAAGGTTACCAAGGGGAGTCATAGCGATTTATAGTTCATACATGAAAATCTAGCCACCCATGTTGTTTTCCTTGTTATCAAGAGCAGACCAAGTACTACTGGTACACCAACTGAATATATGACTAATATCCATCTTTTAAGAACTGCATTATCACAAGTGATGTAGGTTGTGATTATGGTCAGTTTTAGCATGTTTGTCCTAATAATAGCTCTTCTGAGCTAATGTTACATGTTTTATTGTATACGATAGAAAATAAAATTTCTTGTATCTTGTATCAGACTAATATTGTATCGAAATCCGAGATAAACACGGTAAACAGTATCATTCTTATATAGTATACTTAATTAACAAGACATATATCCTTGTTAGAATCGTTAAGTTATCATGGGATTCACAATGGCCTAATCCAAACATGTTGGATGCAAACCTGCAGTGTGTAATAGTTCTGCATTCAAAGACTAGTTACTTCTTTGAGTAATCAATTAGTTACCCAAATGCAGGATCATTTGAAATAAATACACATCAAATTCTTTAAAACATTTGCAACAATTTAAGCATCATATTTCTAACATGACCAAATAGTCAATATGACACTGTATATATTTACATAAGAAATATTCCTTTCTGTTATCTAACTTTGGGATAAACCCAGAAAGTTGATTGAGGCAAGCTAATTAGGTCTTTGGTAATCCCTGTTTGATTTGTTTAAAATATTGACCTCTGTTATAGTCACTATTTGGGAATTTTTATTTTTGAATCAGAATTTCCACATACAATTTATGTTACTGGATGAAGACTGATAATAAGAAATAATGCAATCTGGTAGAAGTAGCATGAGAATAAATGAATGTAATGGAGCGATACCACAATGATAGTAACCATTACATCAATAGCAAGATAATTGAAAGTGTTACTGAATGTTTTAGTCTGATCTGCTTTGTGCTAGAACATATTTGGAAACATAAAATGAAGTTTAAACTGAATAAAATTAAAACCAATTTAAAAACAACACAAAAAGCAAAACAAATAGTAGCTCAGACTCCAACACAGACCAGGAAATTCCTATATTATAGTGGTCTCGATAAGCTTATAAAATCTAGTCAAATGTACTTGGTAATTTTTTAGCCATTACATTTAGATTTCCACATCTAATAATTATATAACAATCATCATAGTGGAGCAACCCTATCCAAAACTTAATATGTGTGCCGACTCCTAAAATGCAGGAGTTCCCTGGACCCTTTCAAGGACTTTACCTTGGACCCACTTGTGGGCCTCAGGTGGCCCCAGGCTGATCAATTTGCATAAACAGAGTTTTATTTCAAATATCATAGATGAGCTTGAGTTTACCCGTCGTTTGTTTTTAAAAAGCCACACTATAAAAAGCAATGGAGGTATTGAAATATGTGATACTTACAAAATGCAAGGCAACCAAATTAATCCTTTTTTGTGTAAAAATATAATTTAGCATTGGCAATTGAGTCATTTATAAAAATGTCGCCTTTTATTTTGTTGCAAATTCCTGAGAGAACTGCATGCGTTTCTTTTTTGGAAAGATCCTACATTCAGGTCATTAGTTTATTACTCAAAGCAATAACTTGGTATATCCCTCAAATGCAGTACTGTTACCTGTATACGAGGTTAAGTTGTACCCAGCATGCTAAAAGATAGTTTGCAAGTATGCGGGTATGTATTGTACTATATGAAAGAGGCTTGAATTAATATCAGATACAAAGACCTGTAATTTATTAGTCGTTAAATTCACACGCTCTCGCATATACTTTATTAATTTGTTAACTATGTTTGAGGTTGTTTTTATTTATTTAGTACATAGGTCACTGAAACATATCAATTATGTAAAACAATCAGTAAGGCCTTCTATAGCGTAATCCCATGATTACTTAATCACGGATCTATGGCATTAAGTTCATAGTACCGCTCTCTCGGCATATTGGTAGTACCAGACGACATATCCTCCCATAGTTACACAAAATGCCATCGACACACCAAACAAAGCCCGTGCCAACTTGTGCTGTACACTATTCGACATAATTTCTGTAACTGAATGGGGCTATAGCAACCTCAACCGTCAACTACACTCTGCCACCATCTTTGATAAGGGACATAACCCCCAAATTATCGTCCCTTGATTTAGAATGACTTGCTGTTCGACGTTCAGCAGGAACATTTATCGGTTTGTTTTTATGTACACAAAAGTTATTCGCCACGGCGGTTATTAGGTACAATGTTAATTATTTTCATTGTTCAATTTTTTGCCTATTGAACTTTCAACATAAATGTATGTTCTGGACCTTTATTTCCTAATGTAACAAAAAAGGTATGAATGTTTATGCAGGGAAGTCCTCAAGATTTCAATCAACGTTTGAAATGCATTTGCTAAGGTAGCTTTTTGGTGCTCTGTGGAAAGAATGTAATTTGTTAAAACTCAGAAACTGATTTGATACATGGATCCATGGACACCCTAGCTTCCTTGACCGACTAATCCATATCCTGAACATTACTAAATGATCATTTTCTGTCAACCATTAAATGGACAGTATGGCAGTTTGGGTATGATCACGAAAGATAAATGTAAAATTCATGAATATCATTTATGTGTACATGAAATGGTTGATTCAGCTGTATGCAACAAACAAAAATGACAAAAACAAAATCTGTTTTGCTCTGTTTATTACGAATATAATAAACACAGATATATGCATGCATATATATGATTTTAATAACATTTTCATCAACATGAAAAGCTTTCAGTTATTGCAATGCCCCATATAATTAATGATTATATGTATACCCTAATACTTCAGTATTACATAATATCTTGTGTAAAATAAAAATTCACCTGACATCCATTGTATTGCTTTGTATCTTCACACATTAATGTCATAATGACAACATACTAAGATAAAATGACAGTGTTGTTGTCATGATGACAACATACTAACACAAAATGTAAATAGTTGTTGTAATTACGTTCACACTTGATAAGAACAAGATCATATCAGATAATGCTTAAATTAATTCTAGAGAAATTTAAGAAAATCCATTAAAACTTCGTTTTAATAAACATTATAAAGGATATTATAGAAGGACATCCTTTTTATTTTCCTTTTTAAGGTGAAAAAGACACCAAATTAGGAAAAGACAACCAAATAATTCATAACTACGATTTCACTATAAAGAAATTAATTAGTGCATTGACTGTGATTTGTATACAATGAACATTTGGTTACTACAAGCCAATGGGAAATGATGAGGGTCTATTACATATTTGGTATTACTGAGAACAAGCAACACAATATGATGATCTCTACTTTATGATCTAATGATTTCGTTTGAATGGACAATTCCAAAAATGTCATTAACAAGTGTTGTTTTTTTACTGGAAGGCATATGCACACATTTTACTTATGTTCATTTTTGAGCATCTCAAATCTCCTGATGAAAGTTTTAAAAAGTTGTCAAGATGACTGTAATGCATGGTTTATTCTATTTCACGGTGAACACTTTGCATTCTTTCTTGTGTAATGCTTCACTTTACAATGGCCATGGTGAAGTGAACCCCTCCTGCCCCACCCTTCATTTCCCCACCCCAGATATATTTTTTGTTATTTATGTGTTTATGTGATTGAATTAGGGTGATAAGAAAAAAAATGGTGAAAAAAGTAAGAAAATAGTGTAATGCTTCACTTTACAATGGCCATGTGCATTATTATGTACTGAGGAACATAATTAAGTGAACTGATAAAAAGTTTAGTGAAGAATCATCAATTGAAATAGTATAAACTGGCTTCATTTTACCATGAGGGGGGTGGGGCTGGGTTTTGATTAATTTCACAATAATTGTGAAATGCACCGCAGTTCACTTTACCATGGGTTTAATTTTATCATACTACACCGGTACCAGATTTTAAATGTAGTGCCTTTAATGGAACCAGAAGACCAAGCTACTGGCACAGCATTTATCACTGAATTTTTTTTAATGGAACATAAAACCAAGTCACTGGTACAAGGTTTTAAACGTAGTGACCTTCTTGGAACCAAAAGCCCAGGCCACTAGTACAACAGTTATTAATGATGCACCCTATTGTATTTACAGGAACAGAAACAATGTTGTACAATTTGTTTATCTTGATAAGGACCGTCTTCTTTCCTCTGATTCTTTATTGTATTCTTCTAAAGATTTCCGGAACTCATGTATAAAGTTGTATTGCTGAAATAAGACAGAAACACTCATAAGAAAAATATAGCAGTGAGTCACTAGCTATTATCACTTCCGTGTGTTAAAGATTGTTTTCTTGTTAAAAAAATTAGTTAAATTTGATCAGAATGCTGGTATTTGATATATTCAACACAGCTTCAAACCTGACACACATTTGTCTCAACTTTGATATTCAAACTTAATATTTGATTATGTTGATATTGCGGTATTAATCCAACCTCCATATTGTAAAGGTTGTAAAAATAACACAATTTTGTTTACAGAAAAACCATCTTGTATGATTGCACATGGATCTAGAAGACTCTGTTACATACCACATATGATACCACTTATGATACCATATCTGTAACCATTCACAATACTGTAGCTAAGTACCTTTAAACAAGGAACTTACTTATGGCTGAGGGTTCAAACTCAGCTGGGGCACTTTTTAGTTACTTCACTTTTTTTTCTTTTGCTTCATTTCTATTTACAAATTTTTTCCTTGAGTCTTAATATTTTTTACTATGAAACAAATCATTTACAGTACCAAAATCATTTCTCAGCACACATTTCTTTTGTTTAACCATGACCACTGAGTCAAGTACTTCTGGACCCCCTGACCTACTTTCTTGACAAAACATTCTGAATACACTAATATAAAAATACTTATTAACAATTATCTTGTAATGATTATAATAACTAGAAACAGTAAGACCCCCACATGGTTTGGGGGATTTAATTATAGTAAAAAACAACAGGATACTACAGATTATATATCAGTGGTACTATTACCTTGACAGACTGGACAGCAGCATGTCCCCGCAGGTCGCGTACCTTCTGTATGGCCACATCAGGCTCCATACCTGGGTCCATCACCATCAATAGACAGGCTGCCACTGCATTACAAGGAACGCATTCACTAATACTATTGTAAACTTATCTTATTTGGTCAATTACCATTTTAGAAAACCCTTTCTCTCTTTAAAAAAAAAAAAAAAAACAGGAATCTTATGTTAAATTACAAAATGTAAGAAAGCATAACTTGCGCTGTAGTCTGATATGTATAAGTTTTGTAGAGATCAGTTAAACAATTTTGGAGTTGTAGCCTGGAACACTTTGTACTTTCTTTGTTTTCATGAAGAAAAAATTAAAACAAAAAAATTAAATCATGCCAATAGCAAAAGACATAACTAGGCGTTGCCCTTACATGTGTGTAAAGTTTTAGAGAGATTAGTTCAATTCCTAATAGGGATAAATCCCAATGAATGTTTTTGCTAGGAATAACAAAGCATTTTATAATTTACACAAGCATGAAAGTGTAAATACAAATATCTTGCATCAGAGTGATTTGTTACATGAAATAGTAACTAAGAGTTATACAGAAAGTAAATATGCCTAAATTTCCTCAGTAATACATGTATAAACTGTTACATGAATAGTTTACAATAAATCATTACAGGTAAGTGTAAATTTTGGCCAAAAATCACAGTTGTCAGCTGCTGGTACAGATGTATTAGTTGATACTTACCAAGACATGATCGTCCAAGTCCTCCGTAGCAACTGTAATATACAATTCATACATAATTTTCACTTAGTCAGGATATAAAAAGACACTATATATATTTATACTACTGTGTTTTTGCCATCATCATCATCAGGTGGTAGGTTGTGAAAATCGCCCTTTGTACCTAGTATGTGGCCTGTCCTAATCAATTCTTCTTCTTATTATTTCTAGAGAACCATTACATAGATTTATATCAACTTTGATACATGAATATCAATTCCTCATGGTCCCCAATTTTGTAGTTTTGAAAGTTCAAAATCATTACTGGTATTTCTGGAGAAGTATGAGATGTATCTTTAGAAGGACACAATGAAAAATATAGTTCGCGTTTGTTCATGTTTGAGAACTAATGAAGAAATGGCTGACAGATAGCCATATTGAATTTTGAAAGTTAAATTTTGTGATCACTTTTTCTTGAGAAATATTGAATGTATCTCAAATCTGATATAAACATTACCCTTGATATCTTGTTGTGTATTTGTTTGTGTTAAATTTTTGGACTGATCACAAAAACAAAATGGCCAAGAGGAAAACATGTTGAATTCATATGTAGACTCAACTTGGTGCTTGGTTTGACCTGATGCAAAATGAATCTTAACTTTGATGTCTGATAAACACTTTAATAACATGTCAATCATATGTAGAGAAAGACTAACTGTATAAGTGATGTCTTGTTGTTCATGAGGTTGGAATGAATTTCATCAACAATCTTCATGAGAAGGGGAAAGCTGGGGACCTGTCCATCAGGGAATGGGTGATGGTGAACAGTAACTTCAGCTGCAGACATCTCGTGTAGGAGCCATGGCACACGGTATTTGTTGAGCTCACCCTTACTGCACAGACAGAATATGTCAGTCACCTCCTCTCGTGTTATGCCCTCTAGAAGATAGACATTGTTAATACTAATCATTGATAACAAAGAACTTTTACTGTAAATGTATTACGACCATGTCATTCTTCATTCACTCTTCATGCATGCAACGGAAATTCTTTACATGAGAGTTAGTACTTTTGAAAAGGAATTTGTGATGAACTTTACTGGTTTGTTCAAACACTAAGTTAACACCTCATTTTACATTTTTAAACTATTTTTCTTACTTATGTCATTCTCCAAACTTCTCCAGGTGTCTTTAAATCTGCAACCTGTAAAATTAGTGTTTAAGATTATATACAAGCACTTACAGTGAATACCAGTTCTGCTTCATTGACAGGACTAAATATACAAAAAGGTCATGACTGTGAAGCAGGAGAAAAAAAATATATATAAGGTATATGAACAAAACTACTTACAAGGAGAATTGAGAAGAACTATTACTGTGAGAATTATTATTTTAAGGAAAGGTAGAATTATTGAGAACTTGAACTGAGAAAAACAAGTAATGTACTGAAAACTTATATAAAGTACACAAAACAACTTAGCACTGACCTACACCAGTAGCAACACTGTAAGCATAATGAGAACATTCAACATCTTTTCCAAAATTTTGATGAGTCCCATTAGTTCTTAAAATTTATATTAGTCTCAAAGGAAAAGCATGAAGCGTGTACTTAAAAACATATCAGAATCCCAAATATTACAGAATCCTAAGATTTAGCACTTACCGGGAAGAGCACATACACCAAATTTTGCACTGCAGTTTAAGAAAGACAAATCCAGCCTGTGGAAAAAATGATAGAAATTGTAAGAGAGCATATTTTGATTATGATCAGCAGTCTAGCAGGTTCACTTTTTTTGATATCACATGAGAGAAGGCATTCCTAAGATGTGATAATGTGTGCATAAATCCTTTTTCATATTTTGAAACAAATGAAACTATGTTTATATTAATCACAAACAGAATGATATGTAAGCATCAATTCACAAAGCAAAATGATGGCAGAATATAGCTATTTTATTGAGAAAATATACTCAGAGATAGAGTTTCCCTCAAACAAGTTCAGGTGTCTTCAAATTCTTTCATAATGGTATCCTCTGCTTTGCACCATATACCATGTTAGTCAAAGAAGCATACTCTGTCAGCCAAGTGACAGAAACTGTTTAATACTATGTACAAGCCATTCCTTTTACATAAATGCAGAGAAAGAATCTTTAAACTTACAGGTAATATATCAATTATGATTGATAAGAATATGTATAGTTAAGCATATAATTTTTTGTTTTATTTGAAATGTTTGTCAATTTTGTTTATTACATTAACTTTGGAGGTGGGGCAAAATATACAATGAAATAGTTTTTCACTGTTTTTATTTTGTTTTACTAGTATGCTCTTTGTATTTCTATCCAATTTTCAATGCATTTTTCTGAATTCATTCATGAATCATGTTTAATGAAATTTTATTTGTCATATTATTTCTATTGTTTTCTGTCATGTATGACCTGCAGGGAATTAGTAATTTATTTACATAATTACAGTAAGCAATTTTTGTGATGGCATTTGATGACATTTTGGTAAACGTATATAGGAAAATGGTGTCATGGATATTAGTGTAGATCATTTTGTATTATTTTCTGAAATAAACAACTGAAAATTAAATGAATATTATGAGAAGAAACTATTGTGAGAAGAAATTATTTTATAAAATGACCAAATATTGGCAAAATCCATTCCTTAAAGAAGCCATTGATATCAGGGACGTATATATTAACGTCCTGTAGATATTGACTGAAAACAGTTAGAAATATAATAATTATATTATAAAATAATACTAAATAAAATATCAAAGACTTCTGACATCTCATTGTAATTTTGAAAAGATGACATTGGCGGAATAGTTGTAAACAGGGACGTAGATAACGGTATTTACATCCCTGTTGTAAACTAGTACGAAACAGTTTTATTGGGGGCGAAGCGTCCGACATTCTTCCCTTCGGTTTGCCCAACAGATTCTTTGACAACTCAGAATGAGTTAATATCGGGGAATTTTGAAAAAAAAACCCTTGATATCGGCACTCCATCCTCGAAAAACTTGATTTCGCCTATTTCACAAACAGTGGCAAGTGACCGGCAGTCCATCACCCCTTGTTATATAACACATATATACGTCTCTGTTATAACATAACAGAAATATCTATAAAATCTCACCATGATATCTTAAGTGGAGATAAATCAAACTCTCCACTTTCTTCGTCTGATGAATCGAAACTTGATAATACCGCTTGTTGTTTTTCTGGTGTTTTCATTGTTACCTAATAACGTTTAACATTTTTGAACAAGTCTGAATTTGTTTACGTTTGATTCTCCCGCTTATGTAAACTGCCTTCTGATTGGTTACAGCAACCGAGTGCGAGCTTTCGTGTTCCTTGGATTTTATCATCGATTTCGATTCGGAATGTTTCTAAAAAGTAACTTCCGTAGAAACCTTGACAAGATGGCGGCAATGATAGTAAACATTCACCTGTTGCAGAGATGAGGAACCGTTTTTCGCTGTATTGGTTGGTAAACTAACAGAAAATCGACAGCATTTATCTCGTTTCACTTATGTACCGTTTATTTTTTGGTGAAGTGTTTTAAAATGTTTCATTATTACAGCAGATAACATTAGACTTGGGACTCTATGGCTAACCGCCAATGAGTCGTACGCCACAGAAATGCTTGGTTGGCCAGGACTGGCTGTATGCCATTGTTTCGACCATATAGAACCTTCATAATCAATGCAGATTAAAATTGTCATAGATAATGTTTTGATGCCGGATAACAGAGACTGATTTCGTGTAGTGTAAAAGAGACAATAAAAAGATAACACGTTAAACTGTTAAAAACTTCTATCTCCATTGATCAAAATCAGATATGTCATTAGGTCTATCTCGTATTGTGTGCTTAACGTGAAGACTTGTATTGCTCCTCGAATCAAGGTCTTGGTTAACTGTTGTGACATTATCACATCACAGATGTTTGGCTGATATTGTCAAGACTAGACTGTACTGTATATTGTCAGTAAACTAATTATTGACCCATAAAAGCTCTGATTTTCATGACAGACATATTTCTTTTGTTCTTAAGAAGTTAAGTGTTCAAACTTTGTTAACATAAATTTTGACTACTAGTCAAAATAGTTGGGGATAGCTTTTCATTATTTTCCTAAAATGTTTTTACTACCAATCCCCCAAAATGAAAGCAGGCCAAATGCCAGTATTAAATGTTAAGGTAAATATGGTTATTTATTTCCTAATATTTCAATGTTATTGATAGCTTTATTGAAATGCAACTTACATCATAATCTTTTGATTTCATAATTATAAAACATATTAACAGTGACTTTAGTATCATGCATATATATTAGCATATGGATAGAATTTATATTTCTTAAATAGGTACGATATACAGAAGACAACATTTTAGTTCCTTATCAGTGCAGTGCTAGCTTACAGTGCTAGATCACACTGATCTATCAATTTCAAATGATTTATAGATCTGTTATCATATATTGTTGACCTAATAATTAACATTTTTGTTTGTTTCAGCCATGGAATGAAAAAATGCCAGCTCCCATTGTGCCAATTATTCGAACAAGGGATTACTCCTTGAAGCCAGTGACAGGTCTGAGATATGGCAACTTTGAGGGTGTGGTTCACTTGCCACCATTGGTTCAAGGTCCCAGGGTGGGTATGCAAAATTTCTCCCTGATCAACAACCAACAGATCTACAGGAAGGTGACTGAATGGTTTCAAACATGGCGACCATGGCAGCAGTGTGTTCTCCTTTGTGGAATAGCAGACAGGTAATACACTGAAAATGTAAATTTTCATCTTCAGTTTTAGTGTTTTTAGCTAGTGGTGAAGAGTTGTGCAGAATCATGACATCTCTGATTGCAGTTTTGTATATCATTTTCTATTTCATAAGATACAAAAGGTTATGCACCAATGCATCAATATGCAGCTAATAAATCCATCCCAAAATATATATACATTGTAGTTACCTATCATAGCTGATGTACACGGATTACTCCATTGAAGTCTCTTGTATACATTATTATCCATGGTTGTTTGATCAAGATTGCAACAATTTAGAAATAGATGGACATTTTGCATCCACATCCAATCCCTGGTATAAATTAACATCAAGCAAGGCTGCCAACAACTCCAGTGACTAATCATCAAAATTGTCATTTTCAGGTGCACAGTTCGACAATTAGACATGTTAGCAACCTCACTAGAACCTGTCAAGCATAGGGACTTCACTACAGCTCATCTACTAAGATATCCATCAACTCCATTTAGGACACTTAAATTGAGACAGGGTAAAGGCACTTCAAAAGAGACTCTGAATGACAGCCTGTCAGAAATATCTGATTTGTACACTGATGAATTCAGTGAGCTGGGGACACCTGAGTACCAGACACTGAGTCCACTGAAGCAGTATGATGACACAGGATCAGCCAGCTCTGATGATGGCATCACTAACTACACACCATCACTGTCTCCTTCTCTGGACTCGGAAATTGCTCCTAAGAAGACCGGAGGTCGGTACCCCCGTCTGGAGGTTGTTCACGAACATGCTGTCTTTAATAACCCCCTAAAGCCACAACCTGTTTTACCTGATGTTGAAAACTATGCAGACAAACTTTCTACTGCTATCCTAGACAGTGTCATGGGAGATTTGAGAAAACAACGAGTAGCTGAAGAACAGCTGATTAAAAAGATGCGACAAAAAGCCAAAAGCAAAACTATGATTCAGTATCAAGGAGGATTTTCTTTTCAAAAAGGAAGAAAGGTACATTCAATGCCAAACCTAAAGCTGTCTAATGTTTCAGAGTCCTTTCCACAAACATCAAAGTTTAAATCTCAAGCAGGTAAAAATTCGAAAGTGAAGGTGAAAAGAATGAAGAATGGGGGTGTACCACAAGTTTCAAAGGGACGAAATGTGACTCTGGCACCAATGTCTCGCAGTGATTTTATTTGGAGGGAGCATACACGATTTTCAGACATTTCTCAGATTTCTAAAAGAAGTGTTAGTTTTGTAAGACATCAGATGTTTGGCAGGACCACCGTCAGCACTCCAGACTTCTTCAGTACAGAAGGTGTAGAGAAGTCAGGTATGTAAGCTGTCTTACATTGATTTGTTTAGTCAATAGTTAAATGTAAATTGAGAAAAAATCAAGTTTATGGGAAAACAAGATAATGTACTATGGTGACATTATTTTAACTCTAGGTGAAATGCAAAGAGGGGTGCGGTTTAGTGCTAACTCCAATACAGCAGTGGTGGGTTCCCTCCCTGTTCCTCTACAGAGTATGTACAAAGGATATAAATGGTGGCCTGCACAACCGCATGAGGGCATGCATTACCGAAAACCTTCAAAGAGGGATCTCCTGGCCAACTACAAACAACAACTGACAGAAATATACTCAGTAAGTGTCCACTGATAAAGTGTGGAATTCATAGAAATATCACATCACATAGATTGGGACAATATCATGGTGGAGTATTTGGAATGAGATTCATTAGCTTGGTATTATTGATTTATTAGGTTATGTTTTTGAACTTGGTTGAAATATATTTTTTTTACATTACCATCACTTTGCTGAATGAGCTTACAAATTGTGTATTCTCTTGATTTCTTTGTTAAGAATCAAGTAAAAAAAGATATGTTTTGAAGTAAAAAGTAATAGTGGTAAATATACACAGGGTAGTAAATAACTGAAGTGGATTTCTTGTTGAATCAAAAGTGAAATACTTAAACTAGGAGGAAAAATGTATCAAACACATCTTAACTAATCTAAACTAGCACTCTTTATTTATTATTACAGTGGTTGGGAGAGTGGGAAGATTATGAGAAAATTAATCTTCTCAATGTTATCCTCAAAATATCAAGCCCAGATGCCTTGAACTTTCTGATGAGCTACATCAAACAGAAGTAAGACACACTATTGCCATATTGTCATGCTTTCATAAAGAAATTGTCAAACATTTGTAGTATTAGTCATTTTGTAGTATTAGTCATTTCATGTTATTGTGTTGTAAGACATTTTACTTACACCTGCTATTTTTGTGCACCTTCTCATTATCAAATAAGAATGAAATAGTTACATACATAGATACCAGCCATGGTTTCCTGTAGAAGTTGTCTAATATCTTCTCTACATCTGGAAACATCCATTGCCATGATATATTCAGATCATATGGAAGTACATTGGTGTTAAATTCAATATTTATGCATTCTGTATGCTGCAATCCTTGGTTACATTATTGTGTATGCTGTAAATCTGGGTTACAATACAGTGTATGTTGTAAGTCTTGGTAACAATACTGTGTATGTTGTAATTCTTGGTATTCTTGGTTACAATACTGTGTATGTTGTAATTCTTGGTTACAATACTGTGTATGTTGTAATTCTTGGTATTCTTGGTTACAATACAGTGTATGTTGTAATTCTTGGTTACAATACTGTGTATGTTGTAATTCTTGGTTACAATACTGTGTATGTTGTAAATCTTGGTTACAATACTGTGTATGTTGTAAATCTTGGTTACAATGCTGTGTATGTTGTAATTCTTGGTTACAATACTGTGTATGTTGTAAATCTTGGTTACAATGCTGTGTATGTTGTAAATCCTGGTTACAATACTGTGTATGTTGTAAATCTTGGTTACAATACTATGTATACTTTAATTCTTGGTTATAACACAATATGTATTTATTGTTGTTCTAGATTACGAGATGCCCGTGATATTAACCGCCTGTCAGACAAGTTACTGCTTTTCACATTCTCCTATCTCCAACCAAGAGATATCTGTTTGGCTGCACAAGTAAGTATATTTAGAAGGACTTGTAATGAATTGCCTGTGTCCGTATACACTTGCAGTTCATTCCAAATATTGTGTTGTTTCATGGTGTTTGATAAATTTTTTCAATGATGGTATCTAGATATTTGCAGGTTAAGGAAACTTCAAACTGTAACAGGTGAAATTGGGACCATAGTACACATAGTTCTACATGTTTTACTGGTATGACAATGTTGATGAGATTCTACATTGCTTATTTGTAGGTGTGCAGAAGATGGCGATACTTGTGTGCTACAGATTCACTGTGGATGGTTAAGTGTCATGAGTTAGGTAAGTATTTATTGAAGTGAGGTGTTGTTTCAGAACTGATTTTAAGCCCATGCCAGGTAAGAATTCCAGAAATGTTTGTACCATTCAGTAACACATACAAACCAATGCTCTCATTGTATTGCCTCTCCTAGGCTTATATGATAGATATGTTAGTTAGATAAAATACTTACCAAGATAAATACTGACCAAGGTCAAGTTTTGTGAGTTAGATGAATACTGACCAAGATCGACTGTTGTGAGTTAGATGAATACTGACCAAGGTCGACTGTTGTGAGTTAGATGAATACTGACCAAGGTCGACTGTTGTGAGTTAGATGAATACTGACCAAGGTCGACTGTTGTGAGTTAGATGAATACTGACCAAGGTCGACTGTTGTGAGTTAGATGAATACTGACCAAGGTCGACTGTTGTGAGTTAGATGATAGATGAATACTGACCAAGGTCGACTGTTGTGAGTTAGATGAATACTGACCAAGGTCGACTGTTGTGAGTTAGATGAATACTGACCAAGGTCGACTGTTGTGAGTTAGATGTTAGATGAATACTGACCAAGGTCGACTGTTGTGAGTTAGATGAATACTGACCAAGGTCGACTGTTGTGAGTTAGATGAATACTGACCAAGGTCGACTGTTGTGAGTTAGATGAATACTGACCAAGGTCGACTGTTGTGAGTTAGATGAATACTGACCAAGGTCGACTGTTGTGAGTTAGATGAATACTGACCAAGGTCGACTGTTGTGAGTTAGATGAATACTGACCAAGGTCGACTGTTGTGAGTTAGATGAATACTGACCAAGGTCGACTGTTGTGAGTTAGGAATACTGACCAAGGTCGACTGTTGTGAGTTAGATGTTACTGTTGTGAGTTACTGACCAAGGTCGACTGTTGTGAGTTAGATGAATACTGACCAAGGTCGACTGTTGTGAGTTAGATGAATACTGACCAAGGTCGACTGTTGTGAGTTAGATGAATACTGACCAAGGTCGACTGTTGTGAGTTAGATGAATACTGACCAAGGTCGACTGTTGTGAGTTAGATGAATACTGACCAAGGTCGACTGTTGTGAGTTAGATGAATACTGACCAAGGTCGACTGTTGTGAGTTAGATGAATACTGACCAAGGTCGACTGTTGTGAGTTAGATGAATACTGACCAAGGTCGACTGTTGTGAGTTAGATGAATACTGACCAAGGTCGACTGTTGTGAGTTAGATGAATACTGACCAAGGTCGACTGTTGTGAGTTAGATGAATACTGACCAAGGTCGACTGTTGTGAGTTAGATGAATACTGACCAAGGTCGACTGTTGTGAGTTAGATGAATACTGACCAAGGTCGACTGTTGTGAGTTAGATGAATAATGACCAAGGTCGACTGTTGTGAGTTAGATGAATACTGACCAAGGTCGACTGTTGTGAGTTAGATGAATACTGACCAAGGTCGACTGTTGTGAGTTAGATGAATACTGACCAAGGTCGACTGTTGTGAGTTAGATGAATACTGACCAAGGTCGACGGTTGTGAGTTAGATGTTAGATGAATACTGACCAAGGTCGACTGTTGTGAGTTAGATGAATACTGACCAAGGTCGACTGTTGTGAGTTAGATGAATACTGACCAAGGTCGACTGTTGTGAGTTAGATGAATACTGACCAAGGTCGACTGTTGTGAGTTAGATGAATACTGACCAAGGTCGACTGTTGTGAGTTAGATGAATACTGACCAAGGTCGACTGTTGTGAGTTAGATGAATACTGACCAAGGTCGACTGTTGTGAGTTAGATGAATACTGACCAAGGTCGACTGTTGTGAGTTAGATGAATACTGACCAAGGTCGACTGTTGTGAGTTAGATGAATACTGACCAAGGTCGACTGTTGTGAGTTAGATGAATACTGACCAAGGTCGACTGTTGTGAGTTAGATGAATACTGACCAAGGTCGACTGTTGTGAGTTAGATGAATACTGACCAAGGTCGACTGTTGTGAGTTAGATGTTAGATGAATACTGACCAAGGTCGACTGTTGTGAGTTAGTGTTGTTATTGATGATTTTTATCATGTGATTTCCATATGATCTATCATACACAATCTTATAATACAACAGTAAAGTAAGTGTTAATTTGTACCAATGTTTATCTAGGTGTGGAGGAAGGTATAGAGAACATGGAAGAAATTGTTGTGAATGCTAACATCAACAAGATGGGTATCGACTGGCGACTTGCATACATAGAACTAAGACGCATCACAACTGTCACTCGCAAAGCTAAGGAACGAGGTAGGGGACAACACTATGTACAATGAGGTAGAAGGCAGCTTTTACATGTAACAGGAGGGTGTGTACCCGATGAACTCAGTAGATAAGGGCAGTTGCTAATTATAATTGCCAAGACCATATAATTAAAAACAAAATAACCAAAAATTAAGCTTGTTATAAAAAATTAGATACCTCATAGGAGAATAGATACCATGACCAGATGTACACTGATTAGTGATGTACTGTAATGGTAGCATGTTTCCTGGTGTTACAGCTGCTGCTGAATATGAAGCAGAGAGACAGCGACGAAGGGAAGAAGGTAAAGTCCCTGTATATATCTATGTGTACACTACACCTAAACACATATTTGTGTATTTTTTTATGTGTACACATCAATGCACAAATATATGTCAAGTATTGCATTCCTTTTCAGGTTATGGTTTTAAAATCTTGATTTGAAGTTAATAGAAATTGATAAAAGAACTGTTAAAAGGAAGTGATATATTTGTACTCTAATTTTGGCAATTGCTTGACAATGGTTTATACTTGATGTTAGAGAGGAAGCGACACATCATGCACCGCCAACCCACTCTGATCAGTGAGTAACACTAGAACGGATTGATGTCTGAGTTTGGAGTTTGAGTATGACTTGGTTTTACTGGATTAATATAAAACTTAAGAGTGGATTTTACATTCATAAAATCATTTGTTGTCTTGGTTTATCTAAATATAAAAGAAATAATATCATGAACAACTTGTTTTACATGAACTGTACAATATTCCAACTTAATGTAGAATCTTAAATTTTGAAAAAAAAACACTGTTATGTTTTGTTGCTCAGATTAACAAGAGAAACTGTCCAGTCCATAAGTGTAGGTAATACATTGTATAAACTTAGTGTGAATTCTCAGGTAATTTTACTTATCTTTTACATTTCTGCTTTTATGGTCAGGCTAAAATCATACAGATTCTCTCTTAAATTGCTTGTATGGACATACTGGAATCATGTGACTTCTAGATATATGACTCTGCATATAAGGACAGTCTGGAATTATGTGACTTTTTCTTATATGACACTGTTTATAAGGACAGATCTGAATCATGTGACACCTCTTTATACTTGACTCTTCTTCAATGGACAGAATAAAATCATGTAACACTTCTAAATACACAACTCTGTTTACTGTTACATACTGGAATCATCTGACATGTTGAAAAACACAAATCTTTGCTAATTTGTCTTAAAAACTCTACCTAAATGGACAGACTGCAGTCATGTAACATATTTCAGTACAAAACTCTGCTTGTATGGACAGACTGCAATTATGTGACATATATAAGTACAAAGCTCTGTCTGTATGGACTGACTACGATCATGTGACATATATAAGTACAAAAGTCTGCCTGTATGGACAGACTGCAGTCATGTGACATATTCAACTACAAAACTCTGTCTGTATGGACAGACTGTAGTCATGTGACATATTCAACTACAAAACTCTGTCTGTATGGACAGGCTGCAGTCATGTGACATATATAAGTACAAAGCTCTGTTTGTATGGACTGACTACGATCATGTGACATATATACCCCGGTAAGTACAAAAGTCTACCTGTATGGACAGGCTGCAGTCATGTGACATATTCAACTACAAAACTCTGTCTGTATGGACAGACTGCAGTCATGTGACATATATAAGTACAAAACTCTGGAATCACATGACTCTTTGACTTGTCTTTAAAACTCTGCTTGTCTTTTTATGGATACTTTTGGATATTCTTGTTTACTGTCCAATGGGATTTGGAATAGGTTAACTCTTTGTCTTTTAACTGCTTCAAATGGAAATGTCTGCTTATTTTAAGAATGAATCAAATGTATGTCTTGGTGAAGGAGTTTTGTGTGTGGTAGATGTGTTTTTATTGAGAAACTTTGACTATTAACAGTATTATGGTTCCAGATGTAGTGTGCTGTGTACTTGGTTTAAATAACCAACAATATTTGTTATTACAACACAAAGAAAATAAATTTCCTTTCAGATGTGAATATTTAAAGACTTGGATTTAGATTCTGTAGATTAGAATAATTTTGGATTTTCAGAAAAGACACCTTCAGAGAGTAGACTAGAACATTCACCCCTAATGGAGATAGCACAGGGTGTGGCCCTACTACAGGCATACAACAAAATGTTTCATATTCATACAGGTACAACCCTTACCAGCCTCTGACTGCTGCTTCACCAACAGCATCACGCAAAACACAGCCTCCTAGAATAGTATCATCACAGCTTCTAAAGACATACCCCTGCACATAGCCTGGTTGACTAGTTAGTCCCTGACAGCATATAAAACAGTGACGCTAGCTAGTCACTGACAGTATATAAAACAGTGACACTAGCTAGTCACTGACAGCATATAAAACAGTGACACTAGCTAGTCTCTGACAGTATATAGTGACACTAGCTAGTCCCTGACAGTATATAAAACAGTGACACTAACTAGTCCCTGACAGTATATAAAACAGTGACGCTAGCTAATCCCTGAAAGTATATAAAACAGTGACGCTAGCTAGTCCCTGACAGTATATAAAACAGTGACGCTAGCTAGTCCCTGACAGTATATAGTGACGCTAGCTAGTCCCTGACAGTATATAAAACAGTGGCACTAGCTAGTCCCTGACAGTATATAAAACAGTGACGCTAGCTAGTCTCTGACAGTATATAAAACAGTAACACTAACTAGTCCATGATAGTATATAGTGACACTGACACTAGCTAGCTCCTGACAGTATATAATGACACTAGCTAGTCCCTGACAGTATATAGTGACACTAGCTAGTCCCTGACAGTATATAGTGACACTAGCTAGTCCCTGACAGTATATGGTGACACTAGCTAGTCCCTGACAGTAAATAGTGACACTAGCTAGTCCCTGACAGTATATAAAACATTGACACTAGTTAGTCCCTGATCTCTTGCCACATTCTTTGACCAATCTCCTCTTCAAACTTGGTATGCTCAATCACCATGACCAGTTCGTAGACTTTATTATTATGACAGGAGACTGTGCTTTCTTAGTGTCATTTGGATTAGAAAATTATTGTTTAATTTCCATACATGTGTTTATATTCACTATAAATGCAGTAATGTATTTCTCTTTGATATGGGATGGGTGTATATTGCTATGACCTGCGGCACTCCTTTTACTAATGCTTCATATTTTCTTTCTAATAATGTCAAGATATGAGCTTAATTCTATACAGTGCAGAAATGTTAAGGCACTGATGTTATGTACATATGTCTATATATAGTGCATTACATACCTGGTATACCCCTGTACATATCTATATGTCACATACATTGATACTTTGATCAGTTATATGTCTATCGAGAAGTGGATTGATCGCCACGACTTTGAAAGATATCGATGGTAGCATTTATTACCATGTCTGAGAGAAAACTTCGTACAAAACACTTAGAGATATAGTAAAGTACATGTATATAATTCTATCTATTAGTAGTAATTTTTACAATATGGTATATCATTATTACAATTTTCATTTGCTGTTTTATTAAGTCATCTGACCCTGAGGGCCATATGACCTATAGTCATCATGCTTCATCCATCATCATGCACCATCCATCATGCATAAACTTTTCTTTAAAACTCTACTCCTCTTTCATACCTCAGTGAATTTCAACCAACTTTGGTTTGATGTTTCATTGGATGAGGGTTATCATTTCTTAAATTCAGAGTTTTGATCAGACTCCTTGACGGGCCAGAAATGAGGTGCTGAATTTAGATTTAAAACCCTACTCCTCCTTTCTGCCTGGGTGGATTTCAGCAAGCTTTCGCCTGATTCATCAGTTAGGATAGGCAATTATTTCTTAAATTCAGAAGTTTTATTTGACCACTAGGGACTTGTATTTCTGTCATTACATCATAATAACACTTATGTAGATTTGTATTCCTGTCATTACATCATAACTACATGATGTCGATTTGTATTCCTGTCATTACATCATAACTACATGATGTAGATTTGTATTCCTGTCATTACATCATAACTACATGATGTAGATTTGTATTCCTGTCATTACATCGTAACTACATGATGTAGATTTGTATTCCTGTCATTACATCATAACTACATGATGTAGATTTGTATTCCTGTCATTACATCATAACTACATGATGTAGATTTATATTCCTGTCATTACATCATAACTACATGATGTAGATTTGTATTCCTGTCATTACATAACTACATGATGTAGATTTGTATTCCTGTCATTACATCATAACTACATGATGTAGATTTATATTCCTGTCATTACATCATAACTACATGATGTAGATTTGTATTCCTGTCATTACATCATAACTACATGATGTAGATTTGTATTCCTGTCATTACATCATAACTACATGATGTAGATTTGTATTCCTGTCATTACATCATAACTACATGATGTAGATTTGTGTTCCTGTCATTACATCATAACTACATGATGTAGATTTGTATTCCTGTCATTACATCATAACTACATGATGTAGATTTGTGTTCCTGTCATTACATCATAACTACATGATGTAGATTTATATTCCTGTCATTACATTATAACTACATGATGTAGATTTGTATTCCTGTCATTACATCCTGTCATTAAAGCATCCCTATACTGGTATAGATTTGTTTACACTGATGATGATGTAGATTTGTATAACTTTGTGTTGATGTTATGCCCTGTTTGTAGCAGCGACGCCCAGTGAATCGGGGAGTGTTCCAGTCTCCCCGTCCCTATCAACATCACTGCCCCCCATGGAGGGGGCTCCAGGAGCAGGGATAGGTATATAGTGTGCATGGCTTAACACACTCTGCATGCTTCAATGTATATTATATCTGACACTAGTGCTTGTCTTCTAAGCTTTATTCTATTGGTGAACAGGTACAACACTGTGGACCTATCAGGATGACTACCATTAACTTGTCTAAGTCTGTGTGGCTAGAAAGGCTGCATGCAAATGAGCTATTATTAAATCTTCTTATTATTGAATGTAAATGCAAAATTTGGGGACTTGATAAAAAGATAGGTTGATATTTCAGAAAAGTCAAAGTATAAGACAAAGCTAAGGTGGATGTGTCAACTAGCTATATAATAGACAACAGTATAATTAAGTTATTGTAAGCACTGCTATATTCTGTAATTCAAACCATTGCAGTTTTATCATAAACTTAAAATAAATAGGGTGTATTTTACACAAAAGTTATAATAAGGACAAGAGATTTCTGTACTCATTTTATTTGTCAATGTTTTTAATTTTTGATGATTCTGTTTGAAAAAAAGTGAAAAACGAAACAAAACAACCTTACAGAACTGAAATCTTGTCCTGATATCATTACACGCTTGTAACACTACAGCCACAATTCTACCCTGGACATTAGGTCTAGTATTCAACGGTTAATTATCCATTACCAAAACTAAATAAAAATCATCAGAAAAAAATATAGTTAATACAAATGATTCATTTCTGCCATTTCAAACCTAATTCAAAATTTGAAAAGAGAGTAATTTCAGCATTGACATACAAATAGTCAGTAGATCTATAAAGGTTGTGTACATAATTTGTATACTGAAATTTCATATATTTTCTATCTCTGTTATGGTGGTTGAATATAATCTGATGAGTTTTTTCTGTACTCTGTGTAATACATTTATACTATTAATTAGTAATCTGAGACCATTTAAGACTATTATTGATTAATTGATTTGAATGCCTTTTAAAATTTTTTACCTTTAACAGATGACTGTTTCAGGTATCTATATATAACCTAATTAATGGAATGTGGACCAAGTAACCATAATCTGGTATATAAACTCTGTGACAGGTGTATCTGTTTCAGTGTTCAATGATCTGAAAAAGGGTCTAGATCACATCTATATATAAATCACCTGGTAGCTTTAGAGGAAAGATCATGTGCTTACAGGCAACATACCTGTGGGTATATAGTATGTAACAGCCAACGGGTAATTCATGATGCAGGGTACCATTTAGTTCACATTGAAAAATGGTAAATAACATTGTGTTTGATTTCAAAAATAGACATCAAAATAAAGTTTGATTTTAAAAATTGATACCAAAGTAATTGTTTTACATAAAGAATTGATTTTAAACTTTTTAGATGTGGAGAATTCTGTCACCGTTGTTCATAGCGAAGATTTTCCCATATGGAATATAAGTTAACATTCACTGTGAAATGTTTTTATTTTTCAAATTTTTACTATTTCATAAAGAATGATTTTGACTTTCATTTATTTTCACAAAGAAAAATATTTGGGGTATTTTTAATGTTTGACATTTCAGGATCCTGTACCTTTTTTTGGGCAAACATTCAAACTGACCTAGTTCTATGTGTAAAGATCCATCCTGTCAAGACCAGTGTCTCTGTTTTTATTTTATTTTAAACTCTGACCCCTGACCTTTATCACTTCACTTCTGATTGGACCATTATATGGTAACTGCATGCCAACAATACTTTCATTACCACTGTAGAATGCATGAACTATTGATAATGATATTTCTGTAGATCTATAGCCACATACATTACATGTATGATTTGTAACACCAAGGGTTTGACCTATTGACCTCTGCCAACCCATTACACTGCCCTTGTCTATTTCCATGAAGATAGGTATGACATGCTTTCACACGTCATTCCCTTCACTGCTTTTTCTCGATCACCAAACTTTACAATAGATATATGCTGCTTAAAGATTTCATATTGGAATCGAGTACACTATCATTATTGATTAAAATGTTTCTGCCCACTTCTGTGGTAATGTACACTTAAAGAAATGTGTATTAAAAAAATATATATCAACATATAGAACATCATATATCATGGCTGTATCCAATATAACAAGTGTACAAGTCATTTTTATCTTTTCATTTCTGTCTCATTGTTCATTATCATAAAATGTTTATAACATGTTTCTGTGTAGTTTTCTAGATAAAACACTGAACATTGTTTTTTATTTTGATGTCCTGGTGTTTTGCAGTACATTGTACAACCAATTATTGTCTCCCCTTTTACATCTGATGGTCTGGTGAAGTAAAACTTGTTTGTTGGTGTTGACAGAGGAACTAGAGATCAAGTGTGGAACAATGTCCAGTATCAAACTGGATGACCAGAATAAGATGGTCCAGTGGAAGAAGATTGAGAGAGAAACAAGTGACCTGTGTAGCAGTGTAATATCGGAGGACCTGTCACAATACAGGGACTATGTATTCCAGTCTACTGAAGATCAGCCTGTCAGTAAGTAATGGGTTCCTCGCTCTGTCCACCGTGGATTAGCCTGTCTGTAAATATTGTACTCCCCTCCCTATTTATGGAGGATCAGCCCGTCAGTAAGTAATGGGTTCCCGCCCTGTCCACCGTGGATTAGCCTGTCTGTAAATATTGTACTCCCCTCCCTGTTTATGGAGGATCAGCCTGTCAGTAAGTAATGCACTCCTCACCTTGTCAACTAAGGATCAGCTTGTCAGTAAGTAATACACTCCTCACCTTGTCAACTGAGGATCAGCTTGTTAGTAAGTATTGCACGCCCACCCTGTTTATGGAGGATCAGCTTGTCAGTGAGTAATGCACTCCCTGTCCTGTCCACTGGGGATCAGCTTGTTAGTAAGTATTGCACGCACACCCTGTCCACCAATAATTTGATAACTCACTTGTCTTTACTGTCATTATTACTTCCTTGAACATATGATTATATATTACTTACTAATATATATGATTGCCTTTGTGATTCAGTCCGGAGGAACAAGTTACCTTATGACTGGCGACGGAAGCAGCAGACCAACAGTTTAGGAGGTGTAGTAGATGAGGACGGCAACTCATTGCCTTCTCAACCTTTAGAGCTGAAGAAAGAGAGAGTTAGATCTGAGGACATGCAGTTTCAGATCATGCGTGCTGACACTGGTGTGAAGTGAGTACACAAAATATATGTACTAGAAAGACAAATCTGTTTAACTTAAAAATTTCAGTTTTTTTTTTTTGAAAAATAAGTATTGTGTTTCCTTAGGATATCATTTAGATTCAGTAAAAAGTTAGGAATAAACTCTGTCATGTTTTTCTAGTTATATAATATGTAGATTTTCATACTGTGCCTCGTACATTATTTTTCTGTTTGAATGAAAAGCTATTTGTCATATTTTGATGGTGAAAGGTCCAACTTGGCATCTGTTATAACACATATTATTTCCATACCTGTCATCAAAAAAGCATTGGAATACAGTTGTGTACAGATCTGTTTTGGAACATAGATGTGTACAGATCTGTTTTGGAACATAGATGTGTACAGATCTGTTTTGGAACATAGATGTGTACAGATCTGTTTTGGAACATAGATGTGTACAGATCTGTTTTGGAACATAGATGTGTACAGATCTGTTTTGGAACATAGATGTGTACAGAACTGTTTTGGACAATAGATGTGTACAGAACTGTTTTGGAACATAGATGTGTACAGATCTGTTTTGGTTTGTTAGCTCTCTACAAGTAATATGATGCCATCCAAAAACATTAACACTAACAGTCTTTGTTGTATCTTGAATTTAAACTATTGTACCTTTTATGTATTTTAGATTTTTGACAGCAAAAGTGAAAGAGAAAAATCCGACAAAGAAAAAGTTTGAGGTCAAAGAGAAAGCATATGACATAAGGACAGAACTTCGACAAGCTAGTGACCTCCTGGTAAGGGGAGATAATTCTTACAGCAATTCTTTCAATTTTTTCTTATTATCCTTTTATATATACCTTGGGGATTTAGTCATAATATGTTTCTAGAGTTTAAAGGTGTTCTTAGAAATTTAGAAAGATTTTAATGGGATACTGTGTGATGTGTATAATCTAGCCATCTACTGGAGAAGACAGACTTTGCTACCTATGTTTCTTTTGTCTTCAGAACCATTGACTTGTTAAAGCTTGAAGAATTTCTCAGAGCTGACAATTTCAAAGTGATGTTGAAACCACCATGATGTACAAAAATAAAAATATTTGGTTTAAGAAAGTTGGAGTTAATATGCAGTGTTACATTTTTAGGGGAAGACTTTTCCCAGTATGCAGTTGGAGTGGCAGAAGCCCAATCAGGATGATAAGGGTTCCCTCAAGTCCATGAAATCCACCATGACTAAATCATCATCCATGACTGGTCGTTACATCGGCGTGGTGAAGAGTGTACGAAGGGTGAGAAAACTACAGGTAAGTACTAGATTAGAGCCATTCTGTCATGACACTTGTATGTATTCTATTTCATTTCACCTTTCAATCTCATTTATACGTATCAGAGCATAATATTCTCTGAAATTGATCATACCTAGTAAAGTGATAAAATTTTATGCTGATTTTTTCAGACTTGTCCTCATATTGAGTCAGAATCATTCTGCTAAAGCTTTAGTCTCTTCATCTTTATGTATTTTATAATGATACCTAATTGTAATCAAAATGAATTAGCTCTTGTTTTTCACTTTGCTTATTCATTTCCTCACCTTCCGAATGTGCTATTCTCATTTTATGACAAAGCTAAAAAAAAAAAATAAAAAAAATATTCAGTTTGACCACAATGAAACCAAAACACTGAAACATCGTTGACACTTTTCAAGGGAAATTCATATCTGAAAAAGTCATGAGTACTTTTTCAATTGAAGAAATTGAACCCGGTGTGATACAAAGGTTAATACAAGGGTTACATGTCTAGTGTGATACAAGGTTACATGTCTAGTGTGATACAAGGTTACATGTCTAGTGTAATACAAGGGTTACATGTCTAGTGTGATACAAGGTTACATGTCTAGTGTGATACAAGGTTACATGTCTAGTGTGATACAAGGGTTACATGTCTAGTGTGATACAAGGTAACATGTCTAGTGTGATACAAGGTTACATGTCTAGTGTGATACAAGGGTTACATGTCTAGTGTGATACAAGGTTACATGTCTAGTGTGATACAAGGTTACATGTCTAGTGTGATACAAGGGTACTTGTCTAGTGTGATACAAGGTTACATGTCTAGTGTGATACAAGGTTACATGTCTAGTGTGTGTGATACAAGGTTACATGTCTAGTGTGATACAAGGTTACATGTCTAGTGTGATACAAGGTTACATGTCTAGTGTGATACAAGGTTACATGTCTAGTGTGATACAAGGTTACATGTCTAGTATGATACAAGGTTACTTGTCTAGTGTGTGTGATACAAGATTACATGTCTAGTGTGATACAAGGGTTACATGTCTAGTGTGATACAAGGTTACATGTCTAGTGTGATACAAGGTTACATGTCTAGTGTGATACAAGGTTACATGTCTAGTGTGATACAAGGGTTACATGTCTAGTGTGATACAAGGTTACATGTCTAGTGTGATACAAGGTTACTTGTCTAGTGTGATACAAGGTTACATGTCTAGTGTGATACAAGGGTACATGTCTAGTGTGATACAAGGGTACATGTCTAGTATGATACAAGGTTACATGTCTAGTGTGATACAAGGGTACATGTCTAGTGTGATACAAGTGTACATGTCTAGTGTGATACAAGGGTACATGTCTAGTGTGATACAAGGGTTACATGTCTATGATACAAGGTTACATGTCTAGTGTGATACAAAGGTTACATGTCTATGATACAAGGTTACATGTCTAGTGTGATACAAGGGTTACATGTCTAGTGTGATACAAGGTTACATGTCTAGTGTGATACAAGGTTACATGTCTAGTGTGATACAAGGTAACATGTCTAGTGTGATACAAGGGTTACATGTCTAGTGTGATACAAGGTTACATGTCTAGTGTGATACAAGGGTTACATGTCTATGATACAAGGTTACATGTCTAGTGTGATACAAAGGTTACATGTCTATGATACAAGGGTACATGTCTAGTGTGATACAAGGGTTACATGTCTAGTGTGATACAAGGTTACATGTCTAGTATGATACAAGGGTACATGTCTAGTGTGATACAAGGGTACATGTCTAGTGTGATACAAGGGTTACATGTCTAGTGTGATACAAGGTTACATGTCTAGTGTGATACAAGTTACATGTCTAGTGTGATACAAGGGTACATGTCTAGTGTGTGTGATACAAGGTTACATGTCTAGTGTGATACAGGGTTACATGTCTAGTGTAATACAGGGTTACATGTCTAGTGTGATACAAGGTTATATGTCTAGTGTGATACAAGGTTACATGTCTAGTGTGTGTGATACAAGGTTACATGTCTAGTGTAATACAGGGTTACATGTCTAGTGTGATACAAAGTTACATGTCTAGTGTAATACAAAGGTTACATGTCTAGTGTGATACAGGGTTACATGTCTAGTGTAATACAGGGTTACATGTCTAGTGTGATACAAGGTTATATGTCTAGTGTGATACAGGGTTACATGTCTAGTGTGATACAAGGTTATATGTCTAGTGTGATACAAGGTTACATGTCTAGTGTGTGTGATACAAGGTTACATGTCTAGTGTAATACAGGGTTACATGTCTAGTGTGATACAAAGTTACATGTCTAGTGTAATACAAAGGTTACATGTCTAGTGTGATACAAGGGTACATGTCTAGTGTGTAATACAAGGTTACATGTCTAGTGTGATACAAGGGTATATGTCTAGTGTGATACAAGGTTACATGTCTAGTGTGTGTGATACAAGGTTACATGTCTAGTGTGATACAAAGTTACATGTCTAGTGTGATACAAGGTTATATGTCTAGTGTGATACAGGGTTACATGTCTAGTGTGATACAAGGTTATATGTCTAGTGTGATACAAGGTTACATGTCTAGTGTGATACAAGGTTATATGTCTAGTGTGATACAAGGTTAACATGTGTGTGATACAAGTGTGACACAAGGTTACATGTCTAGTGTGATACAAAGTTACATGTCTAGTGTAATACAAAGGTTACATGTCTAGTGTGATACAAGGTTACTTGTCTAGTGTGTGTGATACAAGGTTACATGTCTAGTGTGATACAAGACTCAGATGTCTATTATGGTGAAGATTCTACAGGTATTATGACTGCTGTGTAAATTGTTTTGTTTTATTTCCCACTCGCAGGCTGCTTGTTTACTAGGTAACATTTTTCTACCATTAACTGGGGTAGGGGGTTTGATATGGCAGCCATTAAAGTTTATATCTATATTGATATGTTTTATTGTAGGGCATCATTTGGAGATCCATGTTTGGTTGGAATCTGAAAACTTTAAAAAAGTATTTCCATTAAAAAAAATAGGAAAGTAGTTAGCAGAGTTTTATCTTCAAATTATAACCTTGCATCATAAATGTTTGTGTTTTATCAAGTATAAGTTGTTGAAAGCTTCACCAGACATGGACTTGTTACAATATGGTGCCCTGGTAGGACTACAGGTAGTGATTTACTTTAATGTAGAAAAATTAAACCCTGAATGTTGCTTTCACTCACTCACTGTGTACACCCACTGTGTAGACCAGGCCTTATGGACTTGCCACTTACACAAGGTGTTAATGCTGAGTTCTGTTGCAGTTATATTTTGGTAATAGCTGTTGTGATTGGCTAACTGATATGATGATGATTAATATGCATTGTTACGCTAACATAGTGGATAGCGCTAATTAAACCAGAAGATTTCAGTATTCATATTTTCATTGTTACTTGAATTGTTTGGTGTAAGTGATCCGTGCAGTTTACAATGCACTATTGTATACTTATAATTAAAAAAAACACCCAAAGAGGTGTAATTCATTACTTCTATTTTCTCTATATGCATTGCTCCTAACTTATTGTATATGATTGAGTATGAGAAGTGGCGATTTTGGACATTTTAAGTGACAAAAGGTGAAAAAGAAAGGAAAATTATTCTAAAATTCTAAAAGGTTTGGAAAGCTATAGATTCAAAATGAGGGGTTTTCAAAATGAACTGACCATCACATGTAAATACTTTTAACCACAATCAATGAGATAAAGTGTGTGTATTTAATTGCTTGCATAGGATTATTTTACATTCACATGGGTCATAGGTCAAAAGGTCATGGCCACTGTTAGAAGATTTCATTGAATGCAATTTCATGAAGTCAGACAATACATTATGTTCATTTGAATTGGGAGTCATCATCAGTACTTCACGGGTTATGATCAGTTTCACTCTCAGAACCCCTGTAAGGTGTCATGGCAAAATTGAAGGTTCAAGCAAAGTAATTTGATTGGTTCCTGAATAAACTGACCAATCACAGGCTGATATGCTCCTTTTGAAGATTACAAAGGAACATCACCCAACTCTAAAGCCAGTACAACATATATGTAATGTGACCTTGAGATTCGTTTGATGTACATCAAAGGATCACACTGGTCTTTTTGTATTGTCCACAAGGTGTCACACATGAAACCTTCAATTTTGCTATTACCACGTTCCAGAGAAAGTGATTGTAGCCCCTGGAGTATCAAGAATGATTGGGAGAATGACAATAGATCTAACAAATTCCAAATAGTGGAAGTGGAACAAGTGGCACAACAAATCCCAAGTGATGGGAATACACCAAAACAAATCCCAAATGATGGGAATATACCACAACAATAGAACGGTGGGCATGACAGAACCGAGATAGTGGGCGTAGAACGATGGGCATGACAGAACCAAGATAGAGGGCGTAGAACGATAGCCATGACAGAACCGAGATAGAGGGCGTAGAACGATGGGCATGACAGAACCGAGATAGTGGGTGTAGAACGAGGGCATGACAGAACTGAGATAGTGGGCGTAGAACGATGGGCATGACAGAAACGAGATAGAGGGCATAGAACGGTGGTTATGACAGAACTGAGATAGTTGGTGTAGAATGATGGGCATGACAGAACCGAGATAGTGGGCGTAGAACGATGGGCATGACAGAACTGAGATAGTGGGGGTAGAACAGTAGGCTTGACAGAACTGAGATAGTGGGCGTAGAACGATGGTTATGACAGAACTGCGATAGTGGGCGTAGAACAGTGGGCATGACAGAACCGAGATAGTGGGTGTAGAACAGTAGGCATGACAGAACTGAGATAGTGGGTGTAGAACAGCAGGCTTGACAGAACTGAGATAGTGGGTGTAGAACAATGGTTATGACAGAACTGCGATAGTGGGCGTAGAATGGTAGGCATGACAGAACCGAGATAGTGGGCGTAGAACAGTGAGAATGACAAGTCTCACATGATATTAACTAGCAATTTATAAAACCTTACCAATATTTAATTACTATGAAATTAAGGGTGTTTTTGTAATGTTATAATGATGCATGCTCCCATATGTAACTTCATGAAATCGTTTAATCAAATAGTATTCATTTATTGCATGAACATATAATAATATGCATGACAATCATATTGCTTTCATTGATAACATGTTTTCATCAGAAGTGTTTCTGATTGTAATGAACATTAATGTATATTCTGGTTTATGTGATGAGACACCTGAAGGCACAGCACACATTTAAACCTGTTATACAGCCAAAATCTTTCCTTTCTATGCCATGTTGTACCATATGAGTCTGACATAAATTGTAAAAAGATGTTTTTCTTTTGTATTTCTAAAAACCAGTTTAATGTTGCACTTGGTATAGTAAGAAAATGACTTTGGCCTGATAACAGGTGACCATGAGATGATATACTCTAGACGATAAAAAATATATATACCTTTTATTTTGTCATAGGGTCACATGAATGGTGTGTTGTGTGTCCAGTTTGACAAAAGACGATTGATATCGGCCGGACTTGACCGAACCGTCCGTGTGTGGGATATTCGAAGTGGTCGCAGTATACATAAGTTGTACGGCCATAAGGTTAGTGTTGTTTACCAGTTTTACACTTGTCCTCTGTAGGAGTAATGTGTTCGTGGTTATACATGTAATCACCCTTTGAGAAGATTTTTTACGAGGACAACTTTGACAGAAAATAATTTTGACAGTAAATTTGAACTTTTAGAATAAAAAAACACATGATTGTAAAAAATTTATCTACATTGTGTTGTATTGTCTACATCAAAGTTATGTTGTGTTATGATTGTGTTGTGTTGTCTACATCAAAGTTATGTTGTGTTATGATTGTGTTGTGTTGTCTACATCAAAGTTATGTTGTGTTATGATTGTGTTGTGTTGTCTACATCAAAGTTATGTTGTGTTATGATTGTGTTGTGTTGTCTACATCAAAGTTATGTTGTGTTATGATTGTGTTGTGTTGTCTACATCAAAGTTATGTTGTGTTATGATTGTGTTGTGTTGTCTACATCAAAGTTATGTTGTGTTATGATTGTGTTGTGTTGTCTACATCAAAGTTATGTTGTGTTATGATTGTGTTGTGTTGTCTACATCAAAGCCATGTTGTGTTATGATTGTGTTGTTGATATAAGTTGTATTATATACAGGGAGGGATCAGATGTTTACACTTTGAAGAGAACACGCTGATCTCAGGCTCCTGGGACACTACCCTCATCGTAAGTAAAACTTAATCCCAGATACATAATTTTAGATATTCTAATCTTTGGCAAATTTTCTAACACACAAATGAAGAATTAACGAGAGAGTTACAGATGTGCCTTGCCTACAGTCATTAAGCTTGCTCATAGACAGTCATGAAGAACCAAACGTAGACACTGTGAATATATAATCCTTTCTGGGTAATTTTAAAAGAATTTTGTAATATTAAACAATATCAACTAGTGTTTTTTTCACGTGTGAGGTCACAAATATATAGGATTCCAACATGAGCTGTTGGGTTGTTCCCCTTACTATGTGGCAACAAACTCGATGTGGTATTAGTTTGTAAGTGTAGGCTGCAGATGTTTAATGTTTGTAGGTGTAGGCTTCAGATGTTTAATATTTGTAGGTGTAGTTTACAGATGTTTATTGTTTGTAGGTGTAGGCTTCAGATGTTTAATATTTGTAGGTGTAGGTTACAGATGTTTATTGTTTGTAGGTGTAGGTTACAGATGTTTAATGTTTGTAGGTGTAGACTTTCGATGTTTATTATTTGTAGGTGTAGGCTCCAGATGTTTAATGTTTGTAGGTGTAGTTGTTTATCATTTGTAGGTGAAGGTTACAGATGTTTACTGTTTGTAGGTGTAGGCTCCAGATGTTTAATGTTTGTAGGTGTAGTTGTTTATCATTTGTAGGTGTAGGTTACAGATGTTTACTGTTTGTAGGTGTAGGCTCCAGATGTTTAATGTTTGTAGGTGTAGGCTCCAGATGTTTATTGTGTGTAGGTGTAGACTTTCGATGTTTATTATTTGTAGGTGTAGACTTTCGATGTTTATTATTTGTAGGTGTAGGCTCCAGATGTTTAATGTTTGTAGGTGTAGTTGTTTATCATTTGTAGGTGTAGGTTACAGATGTTTAATGTTTGTAGGTGTAGTTGTTTATCATTTGTAGGTGTAGGTTACAGATGTTTAATGTTTGTAGGTGTAGTTGTTTAACATTTGTAGGTGTAGGTTACAGATGTTTACTGTTTGTAGGTGTAGGCTCCAGATGTTTAATGTTTGTAGGTGTAGACTTTCGATGTTTATTATTTGTAGGTGTAGGCTGCAGATGTTTATTATTTGTAGGTGTAGGTTACAGATGCTTATTGTTTGTAGGTGTAGGCTGCAGATGTTTATTATTTGTAGGTGTAGGTTACAGATGTTTATTGTTTGTAGGTGTAGGCTGCAGATGTTTATTATTTGTAGGTGTAGGTTACAGATGTTTATTGTTTGTAGGTGTAGGTTACAGATGCTTATTGTTTGTAGGTGTAGGCTTCAGATGTTTATTGTTTGTAGGTGTAGGCTTCAGATGTTTATTGTTTGTAGGTGTAGGCTTCAGATGTTTATTGTTTGTAGGTGTAGATTACAGATGTTTATTGTTTGTAGGTGTAGGTTACAGATGCTTATTGTTTGTAGGTGTAGGTTACAGATGTTTATTGTTTGTAGGTGTAAGTTACAGATGTTTACTGTTTGTAGGTGTAGGTTACAGATGCTTATTGTTTGTAGGTGTAGGCTTCAGATGTTTATTGTTTGTAGGTGTAGGCTGCAGATGTTTATTATTTGTAGGTGTAGGTTACAGATGTTTATTATTTGTAGGTGTAGGTTACAGATGTTTATTATTTGTAGGTGTAGATTACAGATGTTTATTATTTGTAGGTATAGACTCCAGATGTTTATTGTTTGTAGGTGTAGGCTTCAGATGTTTATTGTGTGTCGGTAATTAAATAAGCTGAAGCATATGATAGACTCTCTGTTACATATTGTCAGATCTACTTTATAGTGAGTTATAGTGATATAATCTGCCTATTATTACAAACAAGGTTTGGGACCTACGCACCTTTGAGAAGAGAGCTATAATGGACCAGCACACTGGCTGTGTTTCCTGTGTAACAATGAACCATGAATACGTGTAAGTAATCCAGGTTGTTGACAATACCAGTAATTAATTAATGAGTGTTATTTTTATAGACAATGGCCGTGTGTACCTTTTATTGTAGGTGGATTTTGTATCGCCTGAACAGGCAGTGTATAGAATGGTTTTTATTACATGTGTAATGTGAAGGAGTAAATTGACAAACATGTTCTGCCCCACTGGGGTTCGAACTAGCAACCTTTCTCTCTCAAATCAGACTCCCTACCACTTGGCTAAAGGGGAATTCCCACTAGCCAAGGCTAGTAAGCTTATAACTTCTACACTTCCCCTTTCTTCACAAAGTCTTCAAGCCCCAAGTCATTATCTACTACATTATTATATGATCAGTTTTATATTGTAGTCTGGAAATCTAAATGTAATGTTGTGATGTACATGACTGTGAGAAATGTTATCCAATCAAATCAATTTAATCATATCTTGTTTTGTGTGCAGTGTGTCAGGCTCCCATGATCTGTCTCTAAGGGTATGGTATCGTCCCACATACCAACAGTACAAGGTTCTACGTGGACACAAAGGACTGATTAACTGTGTCGCATTTGATGGACAGAATGTTGTTTCAGGTTCAAGTGACATGTAAGTAGATCCTTTACTTCTAACATATCCACATGTATATATGGAAGCAAAATGGAATGGAATGATTTTTCAAATTGCAGATTTTACGTAAAAATTGGTAAAAATATATCAAAATATTGAAAGAGGAGCTAACATGAAAAATTGCTTGTCAGTTTGTTGATTTATAGACAAATTTTGGCTGACTTCATTTATGAAACTCTCTTCATTCTGCAGACAAACTAAATGGCTTCATTCTATCTGTAAAACAAAGCTATGAAATGTAGTAACTATATGTTTATTGTAGACATAAGCTTTGTATAACTGCATTAATTCTCAACAGCTTAATCAAACATTATATGTATAACGTGTTATATCTGGCTATATAAAATACTTGTACATGGTGTTTGACAGTTAGTATCTCAGAAACCTTGAAGAGTTTAATACTATTAATCTCTAGAATAAAGCATAAAATGCCCGTGGATATCAGCTGGAGTTGTCTCTCTTTGAACACTGGTCAGTGAAAGGCTTGGTTGTTTCTGGGGTAGCTGTAATGGTAAAGACCAGACCTGACAATATACAAGTTAGTGTAATGATACAGACCAGACCCTACAATATACAAGTTAGTGTAATGATACAGACCAGACCCTACAATATACAAGTTAGTGTAATGATACAGACCCTACAATATACAAGTTAGTGTAATGATACAGACCAGACCCTACAATATACAAGTTAGTGTAATGATACAGACCCTACAATATACAAGTTAGTGTAATGATACAGACTATACAATATACAAGTTAGTGTAATGATACAAACCAGACCCTACAATATACAAGTTAGTGTAATGATACAGACCCTACAATATACAAGTTAGTGTAATGATACAGACCCTACAATATACAAGTTAGTGTAATGATACAGACCCTACAATATACAAGTTAGTGTAATGATACAGACCCTACAATATACAAGTTAGTGTAATGATACAGACCAGACCTGACAATATACAAGTTAGTGAATTGATACAGACCCTACAATATGCAAATTAGTGTAATGATACAGACCAGACCCTACAATATACAAGTTAGTGTAATGATACAGACCCTACAATATACAAGTTAGTGTAATGATACAGACCCTACAATATACAAGTTAGTGTAATGATACAGACCAGACCCTACAATATACAAGTTAGTGTAATGATACAGACCCTACAATATACAAGTTAGTGTAATGATACAGACCAGACCCTACAATATACAAGTTAGTGTAATGATACAGACCCTACAATATACAAGTTAGTGTAATGATACAGACTATACAATATACAAGTTAGTGTAATGATACAAACCAGACCCTACAATATACAAGTTAGTGTAGTGATGCAGACCCTACAATATACAAGTTAGTGTAATGATACAGACCCTACAATATACAAGTTAGTGTAATGATACAGACCCTACAATATACAAGTTAGTGTAATGATACAGACCAGACCCTACAATATACAAGTTAGTGTAATGATACAGACCCTACAATATACAAGTTAGTGTAATGATACAGACCAGACCCTACAATATACAAGTTAGTGTAATGATACAGACCCTACAATATACAAGTTAGTGTAATGATACAGACCCTACAATATACAAGTTAGTGTAATGATACAGACCCTACAATATACAAGTTAGTGTAATGATACAGACCCTACAATATACAAGTTAGTGTATTGATACAGACCAGACCCTACAATATACAAGTAGTGTAAATGATACAGACCCTACAATATACAAGTTAGTGTAATGATACAGACCCTACAATATACAAGTTAGTGTAATGATACAGACCCTACAATATACAAGTTAGTGTAATGATACAGACCCTACAATATACAAGTTAGTGTAATGATACAGACCAGACCCTACAATATACAAGTTAGTGTAATGATACAGACCCTACAATATACAAGTTAGTGTAATGATACAGACCAGACCTGACAATATACAAGTTAGTGAATTGATACAGACCCTACAATATGCAAATTAGTGTAATGATACAGACCAGACCCTACAATATACAAGTTGTGTAATGATACAGACCCTACAATATGCAAGTTAGTGTAATGATACAGACCCTACAATATACAAGTTAGTGTAATGATACTGACCAGACCCTACAATATACAAGTTAGTGTAATGATACAGACCCTACAATATACAAGTTAGTGTAATGATACAGACCAGACCCTACAATATACAAGTTAGTGTAATGATACAGACCCTACAATATACAAGTTAGTGTAATGATACAGACCCTACAATATACAAGTTAGTGTAATGATACAGACCCTACAATATACAAGTTAGTGTAATGATACAGACCAGACCTGACAATATACAAGTTAGTGAATTGATACAGACCCTACAATATGCAAATTAGTGTAATGATACAGACCAGACCCTACAATATACAAGTTAGTGTAATGATACAGACCCTACAATATACAAGTTAGTGTAATGATACAGACCCTACAATATACAAGTTAGTGTAATGATACAGACCCTACAATATACAAGTTAGTGTAATGATACAGACCCTACAATATCCAAGTTAGTGTAATGATACAGACCAGACCCTACAATATACAAGTTAGTGTAATGATACAGACCCTACAATATACAAGTTAGTGTAATGATACAGACCCTACAATATACAAGTTAGTGTAATGATACAGACCCTACAATATACAAGTTAGTGTAATGATACAGACCCTACAATATACAAGTTAGTGTAATGATACAGACCCTACAATATACAAGTTAGTGTAATGATACAGACCCTACAATATACAAGTTAGTGTAATGATACAGACCCTACAATATCCAAGTTAGTGTATTGATACAGACATATATAGAATGTTAAATGTTATAATAACCCTACAATATACATAAGATGATATAATAACTTAATCTAACCTTACATTGCATTAAAATATGTAGTTTTGGGATATTGGAAGAAACATGAAGATGATCATCACAGTTATAAAGCCAAATCAGTAGCTAGAGGCATTGTACTGGAAACTTCTGGAGTTATCTTCCTTACACTGTAAAAATGGTAGCATCAATCTCCATACAAATATTTTACCTGTTAATCCTACCGATTTGTCCATTGATCCTACTAATTTGTCCATTGATCCTATTAATTTGTTCATTGATCCTATTAATTTGTCCATTGATCTTACCAATCTGTCCATCCCTCCTACCTATCTATCCATTGATACTAACTGTTTGTCCATTGATCCTTCTTATCTGTCCGTCCATCTGATATATCTGTCCATCTCTCCTACCTATTTTTCCACTGATCATAACTATCTGTCTATCCATCCTACTTATCTCTCCATTGCTCCTAATTATCTGTCCATTGATCCTACCTGTCTGTAAATTGATCATACCTATCTGTTCATCCATCATACCTGTAAATTGACCCTATTTACCTGTCCATCCATCCTACCTCATTGTCCATCCATCCTATCTACCTGTCTATCCATTCTACCTCTTTGTCCATCCATCCTACCTCATTGTCCATCCATCCTATCTACCTGTCTATCCATTCTACCTCTCTGTCCATCCATCCTACCTCATTGTCCATCCATCCTATCTACCTGTCTATCCATTCTACCTCTCTGTCCATCCATTCTACCTCATTGTCCATCCATCCTATCTACCTGCCTATCCATCCTACCTCTCTGTTCATCCATCCTACCTCATTGTCCATCCATCCTATCTACCTGTCTATCCACCCTACCTCTTTGTCCATCCATCATACCTATCTGTCCATACATCCTTTCTACCTGTCTATCCATCCTACCTCTCTGTCCATCAATCCTTCCTATATCTCCACAGATCCTACCTATGTGTTGATTGATCCTACCTGCTAGGTGATTCTACCTTTCATTTGATTGATCCTATCTACCTGTCCATCCTACCTATCTGTCCATCCATCCTATCTACCTGTCCATCCTACCTATTTCATTTTGGGTCCTGAAATTCAAGAAAAATTATCCACAAAATCAGTATTTATGTATTTCATATCTGTGATTCAAAGTTTTAATTCATGCAAAATTTTTAACTCTGCCCCAAACTTTCCTACCTCATTGTCCATCCATCCTATCTACCTGTCTATCCATTCTACCTCTCTGTCCATCCATTCTACCTCATTGTCCATCCATCCTATCTACCTGTCTATCCATCTGGATGAACAGAGAGGTAGGATGGATAGGCAGGTAGATAGGATGGATGGACAATGAGGTAGGATGGATGGACATAGAGGTAGGAACAAATTGTTAATGCTTAAAACCAAATCACAACATCAACTACACCATCATGAAATAAGGTCCACAGGGGGAAAAATCTATAGAATGTTGTACTAAGCACTCCTCTTATTGAAAAGTACACTTATTGTTAACAAACCATATCAAAATGTGAAAGTCTATGACATTACTTTGGAATGTGTTTAATATTGAATTATGCCAACTTCCGGCCAAACCTGAGCTCCATACATCCTTAATTACTACAGCAGATTATGAATAGTACTAAATGTGTATTTCAGGGTCCAAAGTTCAAGGTCACAAGTGTTATTTTTAGCAAGTGATCAAATATTGATATACATACTTATATTCTATTTTGGAGCAGGATCATTGATGCCTTACAGGCATTTTCTATTTTTTTTTTTTTAGAAAATGGATTGTGTCATCATTTATCATGGTTACCATAACTGGGTTAGTGGTCCACAACATCTGAATGTCTTGAAAGCTCCTCATCAGCCACTTTGTCAGTTTAACAGAAAATGATATTAATGCTCACTGCATCATCTAGCTGCATATCTCACTATTTTTTACATATAAATTCATAGATACTGAAACTGAGGTTTCAGTCTGGTAAAACTATTTTAGCCTGTGATGTTTTATTTTAAGATCAGACAAATATTATTCTCAGGGAAGTGGATGGGCCAAACAAGTG